CATATTATTTTGTGGTGGATATAATTTTACATATTTGAATAGTTTGGCAGTTATGAAATGTACTTGTTAGATATTATTATGACCCATGGATGAGGATCATTAATAGTGAAATTTACATGATAATCCTTGAAGGATCAAAAATATGCCAGGAGCATATATAAGAAAATCTTTCAGTTTATAAAATATTATGAAGATTAAAATAATTTCAGATGTATGATCCATTTTATAGTTTTGGATCAAAATATATGAAATTCCTTGAGATTTCACTTGCCAGAAGCATACAATTCAAGTTCTTGAGAACAATACTTAATTAAGCTAAATAGTTTTATATGAATTGAAGCGATCTGCGCATATATGGTATAACCGACTAAGTAAATATCGGTTGAAGAAATGATATAAAAATGATCCAATTTGCCCATGTATTTTTATGAAAAGATCTGAAAGTGAGTTTGCTATAATTGTTTATGTTGATGACATTATTAGAACTCCTGAAGAGCTTACAAAAGCTATGGATTGCTTAAAGAAAGAATTTGAAATGAAGGGCTTGAAAAGAACAAAGTTTTGCTTCGGATTGCAAATTGAATACTTGAGAAATGAAAATTTTTGTGTATCAAATAATTGATACAAGAAATGCCTTAAAGTGTTTTTATATGGATAAATCATATCCATTATATACTTTGATAGTTGTGAGATTTGTGGAGGTGAATAAAGAACTTTATATATTTTGAGAAGGTGACGAAGAACTACTTGGTCCAGAAGTACCAAATCATAGATCCAGAAGTACTATATCATATCTTATTAGTCATGCATGACATCACATATCATTTGCTGTTAACTTACTGGTAAGATATAGTTCTTCACGAAAGACATTGGAATAGAATTCTAGATTCTTTTCTGATTCACATGCTGGTAATTCCAAATGGAGTATTTATCTCACAATATCCAAAAGATGGTGAAATATATATCCAGCAAATTCATTCAAATAAAAATCTAGCATATTTGTTCACCAAGTCACTTCCTATTACAATATTTAAAAAGTTTGTTCATGATATCAGATGTCATAGACTCAAGGATATCAATTGATGTTATCAAGAGGGGGAGTTAATACACGCTGTACTCTTTTTCCCTTGTCTATGGTTTTTTCCCACTGGGTTTTCCTAGCAAAGTTTTTAATGAGGCAGCATCGAATAGTGTATCAGTGAATATGTATTCTTTTTCTTCTACTAGGTTTTTATCCCACAGGGTTTTTCCTAGTTGAAGTTTTTTAATGAGGCACATATCTTAGATAATGGACATCCAAGGGGGAGTGTTATGAATATTATAATATGTGGATGTCCATCTCCTTTTCTTCCTCTTCCTCTTCCTCTCAACTTCATCATCAACTCCCACTATTTCCACTAGGCATTAATCTTTCACTACTCCATTACCTTTCCACTATGCCTTTAATCTTGTAACTCCCCCCACTCATATTCATATGGTTTATTATCCACTATCTATTATTTAAGTACAAATGTAATTTATGTGTAAGACTATGCCTATAAATAAGGCATGCCATTGTATTGTGATGCAAGTGAAGCAAGTGAAGGAATACAATATCATTCTCTCATTTTCTTGTCTTTATCTTTCTCTATTCTACTTTTGTAATTTTATTTTGGATCCATTTCATAACAAAGTGTTATTAAAATATAGTGAATAAGATTGATTTAAAATTTTAAAATTTAAAGTTATTTTTTGAGATTCTTTCGAAAAAATTTTATCTGCTGGTCTTCCTTGCTCAATGTTTAATCCAACTTTTAAAGCATTGCTTTTTGGTTTCTGCGTAATAAAGGCCCAGATAAAGATGACACAATTTTTCATCTTCATAATTGTTAGTTTTCTGTGCAAATAGATTCCGGATAATAGCTTTTGAGGAGAATAGATTCTGAAAGAAATAGATTTTCTGAAAAAGTAATTCTGATAAAGTGAGAGTGTTAGATAGTTGTTGTCAAAAGCACTTTTCATATGTTTAAATTACTAAAAAAGACATACAAATATGATAATTACATAAAAGATAGATTTTATAATATATTTTAATTTGAAATAATAAAATTGTTAATAATATATTTTTTACCAACATAATTAATCATATATAAGAAAATATAATTAATATATGTATATATATTCATAAAAAAAGAAGATTAAATATGTTTATAGAAAAATGAATAAAAAAGTGCTGTAATAATCAAGATATTGCATCGATATGGAGCATTTATAATAAGTTTTTTTTAGCTACATATTACCAGTCTGGTCAAAGCTTTCCTTCAATAAAAGCTTAAGATCTTGTCTACATATTAACTCTCCAATTAGGTTTTACATTAATGATTGGAATTACATTTAAGACCAATATTAACTCTCTAATTAGGTCCTACATTAAAGATTGGAATAATAAATTTGTTAATTTTTTTTTGCCAACATAATAAACAATATATAAAAACATAGATTAATTACTATATCCAGTTCTAAATATAAGAGCTAGTTGACTAATTTGAGTAGATTAACAAAAATTAGTTAAGTTAGTTATTTGTAATAAATAGATGTTGCCTTTCCTACAATATCCCTATTAATCAAGTTTGTTAGTTATAACTTGAAAAACGATAGACAAATATGAGAAATAAGGTAGATTGAGGTTTTATATTTAGGAACAAAAAAAAGTCAAATGAGGTCTTATATTAAATATAGGATGTGGTAATTGTTAATATGGGTATATAAAATTATAAAATAAAGATTATGTTTTTAGAAAATAAATAATTGTTTTCAACAACAACAAAAATTATTGTAGGGAGTGGGGAGAGAATCGCTCAAAAAGCAAAAAAATTTTGCTTATTACAAAACCTTGATTTTGATAGGTAAACCTTGGTTTTATGATAAAACCATGGTTTCAAAAAATTGATGGGTGTTTGGGTAATTTTTTCCCAAACTATGGTTTGGACCCTCAAATCATGATTTGGGCAATCACCCAAACACCCCACATCATTGTCACAATTAGTATTGAGGATATACCCATTCTGTATATAGTAAATAAAGCTCTCAACTTTTGTATATTTATATTTAAAAAATTTAAAATTTTGTGATGTTTTAAAATAGTCTTATAAAATACTTTTATTTAATCAATTTTTCCCAATTTTTGAATGAATTATTTTTTGAAAAGAATATTGGTATTTAATCAGGGACAGATTTGGAAAGAAGAAACAAGTCTTTATGATCACCCCAAATGGGTTGCTGTTTACAAATCTGGAGTGGGCACTCTCTCGTGTCACGTCCAAGGTCTGGAATAAAAAAAATCTTGAATTTTATTAATTATATTTTAAAATTTGATAACATTTTAATTTTTCTCTAATTAGCGTCTATCATATACAATACCAAGCAATAATAATCCATATATAACCCACTAGTGCTCAACGACTCCACACTTTTACATTATTTTAGGTCTTACTTTCTAATTAATTTGTCCAATGGGGATTTGTTCCCAGTTTTTCCTACTGATTATTTTGATATATGGTACCCTCATTACTAATCCAAACACGGTTGCTAAGCATTTCTACACAAATTGTCTGACGACAAGGTGAGGAAACAAAAAAAGACAGAATTTTTAGCACCATACGTGATTTGCTTTCTAAAAAATAAAAATTTAATTGGTGATTTTTTTTATAGGACAACAAAATATTTTGGAGATTATACTATCATAGTGGTCATCATATTATATATGATATATAATATCAGTTAGGGTTTTAAATAATAAAAATGGGCATGAAGCCTTTGTGAAAAGGAGGAAAGTTCAATTAGTAACGTCTGGCATGAAAACTCTTTATAAATGAGGGATTACAGTTTCGTTCTCGCTTGAAAACCATTAATGTCTATCATTCTTCTTTCTTTGACTGCAAAACCCAATTAATTTGGGTGCTCTTTTCTCGGTTCAAGTCCGCTTATAATTTCAAATCATTAATACCTAACTCGCTCTCTTTCTTTTTTTTTTTAGTTGCAAAACCCAGTTAATTTAGTTGCTCTCTTTTTTTTCTTTCTTCCAAGGATGTGAATTTACTTATTTACTACTTCATACATAAAGAGCTCGTTTGAAATTAAGATTCAATCTTTAAAAACAGCTTTTCAATTATAATTTATAAAATACAAAGTAAATATATGATGAAAGTTTTGTCTCTTACGTGAAAGTGTTTATAATATAAGTATAATATTGATTAAATAAAATTTCATTGATATTATCCGAATAATTTAAATATTACGTTGGAAAAAAATTTAAATATAAAATATATATAATTTAATGTGTTTAAAGTATAATCATATTTATATATTAAATTAGTATTTAATCCAATTATTATCCTTTTTTCTAGCAATCCAATTATTTAAAACTATGGATACATGATAAGGCTTTAGATGAGATTAAATCCATATAATGTATACTTTCTCATTGATTGAGATAAAGATTATCCACGATAGTTTAATTGATTGATGGACATTTTGAGGATATTTTGGGAATATAAGGGCTCCCTTTTCAATTATCTCTCGTTCCTTTGATGGCTGAAAGCCTCTAACCGACTCGTGACGCGGTAAGTTCCTTTCCCTCGCTCTTTATTTACAAACAGCCGCTTGAGAAATTTCTATTTCTTTGCCAGTTTGGAGCTTCAGCCTTGCACAATTAGAGCTTGTGTTTATCATCATATTCATATCCTTTATGTAGCTCATGAGCTAAATAAGGTTCCACCGTGATTTCCTTTTATGTATCAAAGAAATTTGTGGATTTCTTTTGACCATTTGACTTTATCTGGGTTTTCTTCGTTTTTGGAGATCATTGTGATTACTTGAAATTCTATGTGTGTGTATTTGTTATTGCACCTCGTAACCCTAATCTGATAATCTTCATATTTTCATTCTCTTTTCCTTTAGAGCAAGCTAAGGTGGTTATTTGAAAACCAATGTCCAAACGTAATGAAAGCAGATTGGAAGTAATGGCAAGTGATCAGATTAGTGAGTTGCCTGACTCCTTGTTTGAACATATTCTGTCTTTTCTTCCAACCAAACAAGCCATCACCACATGCCTCTCCTCCAAGAGGTGGAGCCATCTCCGGTGGTCACTGCCCATTCTTGACGTGGACGACTTCAATTTCCATAGCCTTCACTCTTTTCTTCAGTACGTAGATACAATCATGAGCATGAGAGATCATTCCGAAACCCTAAGAAAGTTTCATCTCTTTCTCAGATCTACAAATGGAAACGTGCCACGTGTGAAGATTAACAATTGGATTAACACAGCAGTAGATTCCAAAGTCGAACACGTTGAGATTTATGATAAAACTCTTAACAAGTTCAGCATTGAAATACCGCCTTGCATTTTCAACTGCAATACCATCAGCATTTTAAAGCTAAGTGGAGTTAAAGTGACGGCTCCTTCTTTTATTCATTTGCCTTCACTTAAAGTCTTGCACTTGAGCAAGGTTATATTTCCAAATATCAAATTCATTTACAATCTTCTTTACGGCTGCCCTTTGCTTCAAGACTTGGCACTAAAATTCTGCGGCACAACTGATGGGTATTCGGTTGTACCAATAAATAAAGGGAGCCTTAAAAATTTGGTTTCAGCTGATGTTTATGACTATCCATTTACTTTGGAAACTTTGTCAAACGTAAGAGCACTGCGGATTGATACGGTATGATGTTGCCACTTTAATTTTGATCTTTGGTATAAAAGCTACTTTTAACTAAGTTGGATAGGATAAAAAAGTTGATTTAGTTAGTTATTTGTAACAAATATGAGTTAAATTCCCTAAAATGTATTTTTAATCATAACTACCTTTAGATGGAAACTCCTTAATATATATTATTAACAAGCATATTTTAGAGCATGAATTTAAATTTGAGAGACAAAAAGTTGAGTTGATGTCTTATTTTAGAATCAATTTAACCTCCAACAACCAGCTCTTATACTAAGGATTAAATGTTGATAAGTAAATAATTCACGTACATTATTGCTTTTCATTCTTAGATTTGATATTTCAGTTTGCTTATCTTGTTGCTTTTCATCCTCAGATTTGATATTTCAATTTGTTTATCTTGTTGCTGTCTCCCTCTCTTGCAGATTGGTTTTTCAAGTCGCCTTCATCCTGCCACATTTTATAATTTAATCCACATGGAAATAAGATATTATTCACCAGATTTCTCGCATATAACAATATTGGAATGCTTGCAAAACTTCCCCAAGCTTGAAACTCTTATAATTATTGAGGTTTGAATTTGTTGTTTTCAAACTCATGTGTGTGGACTGCCATTTGATTAGCTAGTTGGTTTAACTCCTAACTTTTACACTACATTATTTGGTTCAGTTTAATGGTACAGAATGGTTGGGAGAGAGCGTTCCAGAATGTGTTTCATCGCACTTGAAGGAATTCCATCTTGGAAACTACAGAGGCCTTTACAATGAATTGGAACTTGCAAGATTTATAATGAAGAATGCAAGCTTCTTGAACATCATCTCAATTCGTGGACATGTTACATTAACAGAAAATTCAAAACAAGAAATGCTTCAAAGATTATCCTCTTGTCCTAAAAGCTCCGTGAATTGCAGGCTTTTGTTCGAGTGAGCTTCCGACATGCGGAGATTTTAAGGATGTAAATTACTAATTGTTATCTGTTTTATTTTTTGCCGATGCATATCTGCTTGAGTTTAATTTTCTTTTCCCTTTTGAATTTGATCCGTTTCAAGTCAATTGTCTATACTACCTTCAAACGAAGTCGTGAGATTCAACAAAGACATTCCAAGTTAACCTGTGTTGCAAATTGCAGTTTCCAGCACTTCCCCATAAGAGCTGCCTAAGCAAATGAGAATGGAGATTACTCCTTGGAATCCACTCAAAGTACCTATAGAACCAAGAGTTTTGCCAAGAATCACAAAATCCTCCACCAACTTCAAGCTCCCCCATACAGGGCAAATATTCTCCAGTTCCAATGGAGAACAGCCAAATTCAATCCTACCAAGCTTTGACCTACACCATATAATACTACTTTCATTTGAGGCTATCAGTAGTGTTGTTATCAAAGCTTTGTTTATCTAGGCCAGTTCTGCCCTCCCTATTAACCTTCCCAGACGATTAAACAAAAGGTTCATGGCAAGTTTGACCGTAAATACAAGCACATTTAGTGAGTTACCAAAAGAAATGAGATTAAATGGGCGAGAAAACAATTATTTATACCAGTCAAATGATGAGCACATAGCACAATACAATTCAGATCGTTTATTTATCATTCATCTTCCAACCCTTGTGGCCCTGCTACAGAGAATGGCGACATTGACTCTCCTAAAGTCAATACCAAAGAATCCAGCTATGATGCAGATTAACGTTTGCACAGAAAAATATTAATGACTATGAATATGAAATATTGCTGGAAACGTCTACATACATACAGAAGCGAACGAAAGTGTTCAAAACGCTTCCGTTGGCCAAAATAAGCACTCTCATTAGCCTTTTTTTCCCCGTATAGGTAAATTCAAGACCTAATAAGGTACCACCTAATCATGGAAGTAGTAACTGAATTCCTTATCTGACCCTAATTTACTATACACATTCTGAAATATATTTATGGCAGGGACATTAACAAAAAGCCTGCAATTCATGGAACATTTGGGGTATGACGATAATATTCCCAGCAATTCAATTCTCTTAGCCTCTTGCCTTGGATAATCACGAGTCCAAATGATGACAGAGCTCAAAACTTTTGCATGATTCATTATAAAACTTACAATTTCGAACTCACTTTGCAAGTAGTTAAAGCCACCTAGCACAAACACCTTCAGGTTTGATGACACACATGGAGGAACATTATCAGGACCTGCTTCCATCGACCAATCCAATCCCTTACAACCCTGGCCACGTACACAACGAAAGTGTTTTGTAATAATTCAGAATACTAGGTAGTAAGACGAAAACAGATTCTATTCAGTTAATTTTCAAACCTCGTAAATTATAAGAGTTTCAAGCTTGGGGAAACTTCGAAGGCAGCAGACCAGACTACTCCACCCTTTCTGAGTTAAGTAATGAATTTCCAGTTGGGGCAAATTGTAAAATGTTGGAAATTCATAGTCACCGGGAAAAAAATCATGCTGCACGAGCAAAGATTAGGCCAAATTAAATAAATTTGGGGATATGGTATTATATAGAAACAATTAAAAAAAATTACTCATGGTAGGTCATTGGTACCTCCTCTAAGCTCAGAAATGTAACATTAGAAAAAACTTCCATTCTAAATAGATCTACTGAAGAAACCTTTGCAATAACCAAGTGATGAAGCCTTCCAATGTCTAGCTTCATATTCTCATCATCAGGAAACCCCAGATACAGTAGCAGCAATTCTTGAAGACGAACACATTTAGAAAGAAGCATTCCTAAACTTTCAGCATCCGAGAACACAACGTACATCATATGCAAGGCCTTAAGGGATGGCAAATTGACAGTAGAAAGATTACTCACCTTCACCCTAACCAACTTTAAGATCCTAATGGTATTGCTGTTGAAAGTGCTAGAGGGTAACGGCGGATACGTAACCATAATATCAAAACAAGGTGCAAAACACAGATTCAGATACTCAAGTTTGCTCTTGAGCACTGTGTTAACCCAAATGTCAACCTTATCATGGGGCATATCAAAATACTCACACTTGAGAGAAAACATTTTGAGAGATTTGGAATCAACCAAGTTGAGGGTAGAATCTATAAATTGCAGGAAGGATTCGTAACTACGAAAGCCTTTTTCGTAGAACTCAAGCTTTGGAATGGAGAGCCAAAGAGATTTCCAAATCTTCGACAAGAGCATTGTCGCAATAACATCTTTGGTTTGAAGATATTTAGAAGAGAGAATATGCAGAAGCAACGAGTCCGGTAGATTACTGATCCGGTCGCTCATCGTTACTTCGCCTCCTTTTTTATTTTGGAACCAAGGGTCGAAAAAGTGAAAGGTTTGAGGCGTAGCGTCACTTTGTAGAATAGCAACTCTACAATCCGCCTCCGGCTTGAAGTGATCAATAGGCTTTGCCCATTGATATTGATGATCTTGATCATCGCGTCAATAAATGCTTGCACAGAGCTATCTTCACGCGGCAATATTGCAGATATATTCACAATATGGGGTTGAAGACAATTTTCTTTATATCATCTGCTATGACTATTCATATGGCTTTTTTACTGATATACTTTAAACAGTAAAAAAAATATTACCAAAATTCTGTAAAGTGAAAATTATTTATTCAAATCCTATACTTGGGGTGTGTTTGGCAAGTACCCCAAACCATGGTTTTGGGACCCAAACCATGGTTTTGGGACCCAAACCATGGTTTGGGAAAAATGTTAGCCAAACACCCTTAAAAAAATCAAAATCATGATTTGGGTTCAAAACCATGGTTTTGACTCCAAAACCATAGTTTTGAGAAAAGCAGAAATTTTTTACTTTTGGAGGAAAAATGAGAGAGTGTGAGAGCCTATAGAATATGGATCTTGTTGTTTTTTTTATAAACATATTTTTTATAAATATATTTAATCTTATATCTTATAAATATATATACATATTAATTATTTATTAATTATATTATCTTATATATTATTAATATATGTTAATAAAAATATATTATTAACAATTTTATTCCTTCCAATTAAAATATATCATAAAATATATTTTTTCTGTAATTATCATATTAATTTATGCCAATTTGTATATATAAAAAGTACTTCTAATAACAACTATCCAAACACTCACACTTCTCAAAATCACTTTTTCACAAAATCTATTCTTCCCAAAATCTATTTTTTTCAGAATCTATTCTCCAGAAGCTATTCTTTAAACCATAATTTGGTTTCATCTAAACACACCCATAAACTCGTTGATATAAATAACGAGGATAAGACTGTGAGAAAGTCGTTCACGCGAAGATGAATTTTATCTTTATTTTTTGTCATTTTGTCATATTGTCTCATCGACGCTGACATATATATCTCTCCCATAACTGGAATCAAATTGAATGCTTGAAAAATTGATGTGTGGAATGGTTTAGACAAAAAATACGGTGATAGCTATTTTTGGGGGAACAATGATTGATAGAGTTAATAGTAGAGCAAAATATGCAAATCAAATATAAACCACTTAATGTAAGATCTATTTATTTAATCTAAATAGATTAAAGAAACCAAATAAATTATTTGATTATTAATATGAGAGATAAAATATGTAAAAATCTTACACTTATGATCAAAATTCACCCTCAGACTAACTTCTACATTTAGAATAGGAGTATATTGTATCAAAAAAATGTAAAAGTGTTACACTTTGAGAGTGAATTTTGGTCCCAAATATAAGACTTGATTAATGTACGAAATATGTGGTAGAAAAAAAATAGGCAAATCAAATATACACTCCATTGATAGCAAAATATATACACACACTTTGTTAATTCTTAATGTAAGATTTATTTATCTAAATCAAATAGATTAAAGAAACTAAATAAATTACTTGATTATAATATATGTAACATGATCTCTCTAAAATATTTTTATATAATATTAGATTATATGTCAATTTATAAGTTAGACAAATTAGTTTAAAAAATACAAATTAGTTCAAGAAAAAATAATAAATATAAGAGATAATATAGATAAAGGTTTAACACTTAGAACCAAAATTAACCCTCAGACTAAGTCCTACATCTAGGATGGGAGGAGTATATTATATCAAAAAATGTAAAAGTATTTTAGTTTAAAAAAATTATATATATGAGAGATAAAATTATAAATGTCTTATATTTAGAAAAAAATGATAAATATAAGAATTAAGATAGATAAAGGTTTTACATTTGAAAAAATACTTTTATATTTTTTGATACAATATACTCCTCCTATTCTAAATATATGAGTTAGTCTAAGGATGAATTTTAATCCTAAATATAAAATCTTTATCTACCTTATCTCTTATATTTATAATTAAATAATTTATTTAGTTTCTTTAATCTACTTAAATTAGATAAATAGATTTTATATTAAGGAGTTTATATTTGATTTGCATGTTTTGCCCTCCACATATTTTGTACGTTAACGCTATCAATCATTCTTTTTCCCTCAAATGGCCATCACCGTATTTTTTTCTAAACCATTCCGCACTCATCAATTTTTTAAGCATTCGATTTGATTCCAATTGTAAGAGAGAGGAGAGAGGAAGGAGAAATGGTTCCATGTGTGATGAAGTTTACTTTTTTATTCAAAAGAAATGTACATGTTAGAGTTGACAAGAAAAGAAAATACGACAAAAAGCAAAGATAAAATTCATCTTTTTACTGTTTTAAACTTATTCACAGTCTTAAACTTATTCTTTACATGAATGAGTTTAAATATAGTATTTAGATAAATAATTTTCACGTCGCAGGATTTTGATAATACTTTTTACTGTTTACAGCATATTAGTGAAAAAAAACCTGATTCATATCAATCCAACATCGACGCTTAGGAATTGGACATTAAATGAGGGTGCAATTTACTTTGCAGTCATCCAATTGTTTTTTTTTTTTTTATGTTGACTTGTTTCAAAATGTGCAACCAGTTTAATAATACTTTACAGTACTAAATTAATTTTTTATTTTATATTTCTGTACAATTTTTGCCCACAATTTTGTACCATTAAACTTTATAACTAAAATAATATTCACGGGGATCTGTAAAAGTATGATCACACAAAAAGAGTATTGGGCTTCGTGTGAGCTCCCTGTAACTGCCCAGGCTTTAATTCCTGATTCCTTGTCTTCCTCTACTCTTCCTTTCCAGTCGTCCAACCTCCCTCCGCCTTTTTGTTTTTTTTTTTTGGTGAAAAGAAGGGGCCAAGCCCAAAACAACACAGTTAGCCTATTTTTCTGAGGCAATTTCCTTCTAAAAATACTTGAAATAAATATGTAAAAGAATTTATCTCGATATACAGAAAAATGATTCTGAAAAGTACTCTTGAGGTGTTCCGAACACCCCCTAAATCTTCTTATAGTAAATTCAGATACCCACTAACGAAGATTAAGTCTAACAGAATAAGCTAGTTCCTCATAACGTAACGAGTCAAAGTTTGAATTTCTACTAAAAGAGATGTATCCATATGTAGTGTTTGATAGTGCCTCGAATAAAATTGTTTCTAGTAAGAAAAAGATACTCAAGTTTGCTCTTGAGCACTGTGTTAAGTGTTAACCCAAATGTAAACCTTATCATGGGACACATGAAAATACTCACACTTCAGAGAGAACATTGAGGGATTTGGGATCAATTAAGTTGAGGTTAGCGTCTATAAATTGAAGGAACGATTCATAACTACGAAACCCTTCTTCGTAAACCTCAATTCCACATCTTTGGCAAGAGCATCGTCGCAACAACATCTTTGGTTTGAAGAGACTTGGAAGAGAGAATATGCAGAAGCAACAAGTACGGTGGATTACTGATCATGTCGCTCATCGTTTCTTCGCCTCCTCTCTGATTTTGGAACCAAGGGCTAAAGAAGTGAAAGGCTTTAGGCGAAGGGTCGCTTTGTAGAATAGCAATTTTATAATCCGGTTTGAAGGGATCCATAGGTTTTGACAATTGACATTAGCGATCTTGATCTTCGCGTCAATAAATGCTTGCACAGAGCCATCTTCACGCGGCGGAATTTCAAATATTTTCCAATATATGTACAAAATAGGGTGGGAGGAACAATTCTCCGATTCATATCATTCCGACGTGATTTAGAGAATAATTTTTGAAAAATAAATTGAGAAAATAAATTTTGTGAAAAATATATTTCATAACAAACTGATTTTGATAAAATAAGAGTGTTTGAATAGTTATTATCAGAAACACTTTTTATATATGCAAATTACTAAAAAGAGCACAAGTTAATATGATAATCATATAAAAGATAAATTTTATAATATATTTTAATTTGAAAGAGTAAAATTTTTAATAATATATTTTTTACCAACATAATTAATAATATATAAGATAATTTAATTAATATGTGTATATATATTTATAAAATATAAGATTAAATATGTTTATAGAAAAATAATTGAGGAGTGTTAAAGTCATGTTATTATTGGGATCTACTCTGACAAGTACAATCATACTTTTTAATTTGAGCCAAAAGCAGAATAGATTTACTTCTTCTGAAACCATAGTTTTGAACCCAAAACCATGGTTTGTTGATCTTTTCCCTTGTTTGGCGAAATTTTGACCCAAACTATGATTTGGATCCCAAAATCATGATTTCAAATATTTTCCTAACAGTAAAAATCAAGGGGGTTTGGCCATGGACAAGATTACTTTTAAGAAGTATTTTTTTAATAAATAAAAACAAATTCTTTCATATTTATTTTGTATGCTGTAAAATGATTTTTAAAATTATGATTTAATTTCTATTCAAACATCCTATATGAGAGTACAATTTACCTTGTAGTTATCCAATTGTTTTTTTTTTTATGTTAACTTATTTCAAAATGTGAAAGCAGTTTAATACTCCCCTAATTTTCAATTCTTTTTTATTTTTATATTTATGTACAATTTTTGCCCACAATTTTGTACCGTTAAACTTTATAACTGAAGTAACATTTACTTTTGTTTTGATAGGAATAAATTTGAAATGTTTTATGAATTTGATTGTGATCTCTTGATAACCTACATACAATGACTTTATTTTTATAGAACATAATAACATTATGCAATCTATATAAATAACCTTACCTAATGAAATTAAGATTTATTGTTATGATGATGTAACTTACTCTAATTTGTTTGAAAAAGAAACTTGCTTGTAATTGTTATTCTTTGTTAGGAAAAGTGAGATATAAGTGAGAGTTGCTTCTCTAATCCTATTTATAAGTCATTTTTAACATATTTTATACAGATTAACAAAAA